GCTTCCGGGCACGCCCCGCCGCGGGGCGGGGAAAGGGGCGGGGCCGCGGGCCGGGGGGCGGGGCCAGCCCTAGCCTGGGTTTTTCTTGTAAGTAGCGGCCTGGATTAAGGAGGGAGAAAAAAAAAAAATCAGAGACCTTTCCCGGGCGCTTAGGGCGCTTCGAAGCTCGGGGGGCCGGTCCGCTGTCAGCTCGGGCGGTTCTGGGTGTAAATTTACCTACAGAACGGTACAGGCCGGCTGGCTCCGTCCCTGAGTGCACGTATTTGAATTACAAACGGAGCGGGGGATGATCTAAATTGAAAAAAACCCGTAAATCCTTAGCACAGAGCGCAAGGAAAGCCCAGGAGCGTTTTCTGTAATGTTTTATTTTGTGATGCCAACGTGAAGAATTCACGGTGCGGTAAGAGAGAGGACAGTACTGAGTTTAGGTTCCACGTAACAGGATTGATGCTTCAAAATTACCAGCCGTGCCAAGAGCTTTGGTTGCTGTATTAGAAGGTGGCACGTGGGAGGTGTGGTCTTGACCCAAAATAATGCAGAGCTAAAGACAAAAGCCTTTCCATTACATTAAGATCGTTTTCCAAACAGTTCAAGGAACTTTCTACCGACACGGTGGTATGGACAGGGAAGCGCCTTTCCTTGCTGGGTGTTCTCTTTGCTACCTGTCAGTAGTTTGGTTCAGAGATGTCTGTGATTGTGGCCCCGTAGATTTGGGTCTCCCAGTCTGAGAGCTGTTTCACAAAACCCCGGTGTGGTCTCATGTTCGTTTTGCATTTCAGAACGTAGTCCCAAGCTCTCTGTGAACAGAAGGAAAGAAAAGAAGTGTTAGGAATTTGAACTGAATGCGAATCTCGGGTAGGTACACGAAGCAGCTACACCTGTGGATGACACAGCTTTGTATTTACTCCCTGTGTTGGACAGCAAGAACCTGCAGATAAGACTTTGGCTACCAAAGTAGGGACAGTCTGGATCCAGATGTGAACTTCTGAGAAGACTGTCACCTTCATGCTCTGCTCTCCTGGATACGAGGACAACTCAGGCTGCTCTCACTACCTGGCAGGTATCTTGCATTATTTTACACCGATGGAGCAATGCAGCCCTGGATTTTTACCCTAAAATGCTCTTTCTTCCATGGATGATAAGCAAAGCAGTGAAGTATCAGCTATTCACAGGGAAGCAACAAAGGTTATCATGTTTCTGGATCGGTGTGACCTGATATGGCAAAGCAGCTATGACACTCCAGTTATCCCACTGCATTAATCACAGTCATCTTCATTATTTGTTAGTGCCAAGTAATCAGCTAGGAACTCTGCTATACAGAGGGTAGATCCGCCAGCATTACTTGGCTTTACTGCAGCTGCATCCTTGGGTTTACCCAGTAGTGCTCATCTTCCCGCTTTTAAAAGAGACTGCCCCCAGCACCTGGAGGATTGCTTAAGCGTAATGAGACCAAAGGTTAGAATATAGTGCTCCATTGGTTTGTTTTTCTAATCTCAATCATTCTGCAGGCTCCGAGGCTGATCTTCCAATATTTACTCCTCTGGGCCCACAGTGTGGATGTCTCTAGTTCCCCTGAACTCAATAGACCTACTCACATATCCATTACTGACAGAATAAGGGGCCGCACATCCCAAGTCTGCCTTTCTTTTGCAATATCTTCATCTCTGGAAGCTTTCGAAGATCTTTGCCTAGACTGGCTGAAGGATCACACAGGAGTCTGTTGCACTGCTTTTGTCTGCAAGAAACAAACTTGTCTGCCAGGGTAATCCCCCAGGAAAGCTTCGCCCAGTCAACTGTGGGCAAGCACTGCCCAGGCGAGCCGCAGCATGCTGCTGCTGTGTCAACCTTTCCTTCTTCTATTTTGGCACTTAGTAAAATCCTGAAACAAGCCTGTTGATACCAACTGAGAGAAACTGCAAGGTTCAGCTTTTGACTTTTGCACTGCCATTGCAAGCACCTTCAGTAATTTAGCATGCAAGCGAATGGTTATCAGCGTGCAGGAACAATCACACCCAGCATTAGTAGCAGAGACTAAATAGTGTCTGCAGCCCTGTTGGCAGGCTCAACCTGAAATTACCCATTGGCACACAGCGATGGTAAGAGATTTCCTCTTATGTTGCAAATGTTTTCACAAAATCAATTAAATTATTAGATACAGGCCCAGCTTCAGTGAAGCTTGGATCAATCCTTTCAAGCTCCCAAAGGAGGAAACACTTTCCAAAATAGGACAACCTTTTTAAGGAGATGACTTTCAGTTCCCATGGGAACTAGCCTGCTCTGTGCTAAGCAGGCACCACCATGGGATGGTGCCTATGGCAGCACGATGCCCATGCGTTGTATGCAAAGGGAAAAAGGGCCTGGCACCAGGGGAGGCTCTTGCACAGCCGGGTCATTCTCAGCCATCATTCATTATTTTTCTTACGTTATTCAGAGCTATGGAACAGCATGTACTGGCCATCTAACCTGTACATGCCTCCTGGGCTACTATTATCCCATTCCAGATTTCTCTACAGTAGTACCTGTGGGAAGGGGATTGCTTCTGGAGAAATAAAATAGGATTTTGGAAGAAGTCAGTGCTGATGCTGAAGTAAGTGGTAAATCAGAGCCCTGCAAGCACTGGGTTCTAATTGCCCTGTAACCCCATGGTATTAAGACATGGGATTAACTCCAGTAGCTTCCAGGTACTTTCTTTCTCGGATCCAGGAGAGCAGAAATGCTAAGGTCTGTAACCACAGCTTTATTTTTATAGCCCCATAGTTAAGGAGGGAAATACAAGAATATGACAGGTGCCAGGGTAAGGACTCACAGATCCAAAATCACACCTAAGCCACCTCCTTAACAGTATAAAGAGGCTGCAATCTGATCTAACAGAATCTGTTACATTATCAGGTGGATAGTCTGCATCAAAGCACAGATAATAGCTATCTCATTACTACAGTAATGAGGCTTCAGAAACAGAAATAAACTGCAGACCGAGCCAGTATCTGTGGGAAATATGACAGTGATGTACCTTCAGGGAAAACTGGCAGGAATGCATAAGATAGGCCATGGCTGCTGTGCTGCTCCGGCTTATCCCCAGGCTGGAGAACACCAGTACTGCTCCATGATCCAGCTGAGCATCTGAGTAAAGAAATGCCAATCACAAATTAGTGATCTGGGAAATCAAACTTCCAGTTGTACAGTTGAGCTTTAATTCAGTGACAGCCGACAGGCTAGCAGCCTGAGTGACAGGACCCCTCATGAACCCTGACAGCAGCAGATGGGCACTGCCAGCTCCTGTTTCTGTAGCATTTGCTTTTCTTAAAAATCCAGAGTTAAAACGTGGCTTTGAAGACCAGAACAAATGACAATGGCCAGTCAATGCTTCATTACAGATCAGTGTTGCCTTTACATCAGATAGCTGAAGAAAAGTGGCCTACCATGACCAATCAATCAGCTGTGGTCAGCATCACATCAGCTACTCAAACTCTTCCCAGAAATGTTCAAAGATATTGAAATTTGTGATCAACGCAAACCTAACTGTTCTCCACTGAAGCTGCAGGAATCAGCAATCAAACTGGAGGGACTGACTTCCAGTCCCTTACCCTTCTATGGTGATCACCAGCAGGAAGCATGTACATGCCAGCTAGGGCACTGGTTTTATGATGTTTTTATGATGAATACTTTGCAGTGAAAATTGCTAAGATCAGAAAACTCATTTTCTATAAAAGCCAAGCCCAGGGATGCTGTCAGTCACTCCTAACCACATCAACTCTGCTACCTATGCCTAAAAGGTTGCCTATTTTATTAATAGCCTTTTGAATTCTTTTCCTCACTCTCCAGAGCAGGCAGCATGACATGTTTTTGGAATATCAGCAACTGAACTCTAGAATTCATAGGGCAAAGCCTCTTCTTTTACTGCTGTCAAGAGGTTGTGGCGTTTTGTGTTTTTTTCTTCAAGCTCTAAAACAGAGTTTTCTGACTTATTTCTACCATGAGATACTATTTCTGTTCTAAGACCTGAGCAGCAATGGCCTCACTCCAGCATACACCTGGCATGAGGACACTCACACTCCTCTCAGAGTATGGGGAGAGCTTTAGTCTACTGCTCACCCATAACCGTTCCAGTTTAAGTAATCTACTCTAGATTGTCAAGTAAACAGGCTATCAAGTAAACAGTATACACTTCCACAGGAGCTACGGCTACTAAACTCTTAATAGGCTTTTTGGAAACTTCCACAAACTGATGTGGGAAAGAAATTTTCTTCTGAAATACTACTGGGAAAAAACCTGGGGAGAAATGAAAGGCAAGTAAGTGTATTTTGATACTTGGGGTTTAATGCATGCAGATCACGACATTCAGTTCAGGACTCCAAAATTATATCCTCAAATATTGTTTCCTTGTTTCTTTGTTTGCATCCAGTTGTCATTTCTTATTTTGTACTTGGATTAAAGGTCTATGGGGACAGGGTGGTCTTTTGCTTCTGGGTCTGTACAACACTCAACTCAGCAGGGCCTTGGTCTGTGGCAGGTGTTATTTCATAACTGTGATAAAAGATAACGACACGGTTGCACACCATCACAGGATGGAGCTCTGGGAGCTGTCTGCTGTGCTGCTGCAGACACTGAGCTGGAGACTATGTTTTTTTATTGCCCTCTCTGATGTAATTAGCTGAATGCGGGCTTATGCCGTCCAACCTGAAAATCTTCCTAGGCCCTATGGTGGGTCTGCACTGGAAATCACAAAGATTAGCAGCGTCTTGTGGTAAGTTCTCTAATGTGTGTCACACTGATGTTCAAATAAAGCTCTGGTGGATGAAGATTTGGGCTGCTAAGGGTCAAAGGATTGTATTTAAGAATGAAGGAATAGGAGACAATCCTATGAAGCCCCGGTAGACATCCTGCAGCAAAGCATTTCCAGATCAGGTGGGAAGCTCACTGTTATCAGAGTAAGGTGTTCTTTAAAGTGAGTAGGAACATCAGAGTCAGATGCCCTGTAAAATCTCCCTGTCCATCAGGCTGGTTAGTAAGGCAGCTCTGGTATCCATTAGGGTGTGGGCTTGCTTGGGAGTATACTGATCTTGAAAGATTATGACCCTCCTGTCTGAGCTTCCAGTTCGAGTGAATTGCAGTCACTCCCATCTAATATCCTAGAGTGAGCAAGGTCTCAGGAATTCCAGATCAGGAACAACTCACCTATGAAATGACAAATGGTGGCAAAGGAAGAAAAAAGATCTGCTTCGAGTGAATCTGGAACAGATATATGGAGGTATTTGCCGCCTTCTGCAAACCTGGGAAAAGAGCACAGAGCATGACATGGACCAGAGAAGCAGCTTTGAAAAAATGTGTTTGTTGGAGGCAAGCTGATAATTTTGTTTGCTGTTACATGTGTTGAGTTTTCATCATCATCATCATTAACATTATGATAAGGGATTTGTTATGGTAAGACACCGAGATGCTTGTAATACAGAACCAGTTTTAATTACTGATTTTCTGTTCCACATGGTATCAGCACTGATGTCTTAACTTAACCTACAGCTTCCTTTATCTGTGAGCTAAATGAAAACGGATTAACTGAAAGCAAGAGTGCCTTCACAGTGTGCATATTGGCAGTTTTGTGGACATAGCCCCCAACTGCCTTCATGTGGTTTTCTGTGACAGCATCCTCCTCCTTCCACAAGCTCAGAAAACTCAACTCAGAGAACTAATGGAGCAAAAAATTGGTGAGGAATTTCTGAAATGTTAAGGCACATCATGCAGAGGGTATGGGAAGATTACCCACGGCACAGAGACCTTTGATGTTTTCCTCTGGAGCCAAAGGCATGAGAAATGTCTGCTGGTATACATGTCCTGGGGTAGGTAACTGGGTTTGTTACTAAACTTTGTTTTGGTCACCACACTGAGAAATGCCACTGGATTTTTCACTCCGTGAAATGGCATTACCAGGATGGCCTACATACTCTGCTGAATGATCGGGGACAGATGTAGGTAAGGAAGGAAGACCAACAATTTAGCTTTTCCACTGATGCGTTTGTAAGATTTTGCTCTGAAAGCTATTCAGAGATACACATTCTTCCCAAAGGATGGTGGTATGCAATAGACTCAAAATGGCAATGGCCTTCCAGTCCTCCTCTTACCCAATCCACCCATGTCATGGTCAAAGGCTACAGGACTGCATTGCTGCTGTGCTAACTCTGGAATAGAGATTGGAAAAATGAGCATGAAACAGCACTTGAATCTGCAGTGAACAACAGAGGTTTCCTTGGAAGTTCACAGGCACTGACTCCTCTGTGAATGGGCTCTGGTGCTGTGCCACCTCACTTTTTTCACAGGCACAGACATTGGTGAGGGTAAACCTTGAACTATTTAACTTACATTGTTGCAGGCTGTTCAGAGATGTTGACTTGTGCTTTGATCTTCAGATCTTTCTGAATTTGTTGGTCACAGGCCTGCTTGAAATTGCCCATATATAACTTTGCAGGCAGTATTTCTACAGGGTATGGCTGGAAGTTCTCTAGTTCCTGCTGGACAGAAACCATAGGCTCAGTTTAGAGTGTATTTGCTCCTACTAGCTTGGTAAGTTCTTAAACAGAAGTCATGTGAAGAACTGAACACACACTTAGTCAACAGCCCATGACACATTCTAGTGTAATGAAGAGTGTAAAGAAATTCAATCACTTGGACTTTCTGTGTATTGAAGTCTTTGCTAGATTTACTGAGAATAATTGACAGCATTGCTGTCATTGTAGCATTACTTGAAACAAATCCTAACTAAACAGGAGGCAGCATATATTCTTTACATTGTCTGGAGGGATTGCAGCATAACAGATTCATCTGATGTTCTCCCTGGTTACTGTTTGCAACGCTAAATGAAATCATCTGCCACCTGCAGAGCTGCAGGTGCCATGCAGTGGCACAACACAAGTCACTGCTTCCAGTGTCTGCAGTGTGAAGGCTGAGAATAAAAATACACAAATAGCCGATAGTGCCTCTACATCCCTAACTGATACTTGGCTAATGCTATAGCATAACAATTTAAAGCAACAGAGAACAACAGCTTAAACTGAGAGCCAAGGAGGTACTCTGTGTCCAACTGAATCTGATGGGGAAGTTGAGCAGTTTGCTACCCTTCACAAAGAAGCACAAAGTGAACTGATTTTCTCTCCTGTGCTGTGGCATCCCACAGGTTAGCACTGTGTCATGGGCTGTTTCACGTGAACCAGAAGTGAATAGGAACAATGGAAACAAAAGACATGTTGCGATGAGATGCTCTCTGCTGTCCAGCGCCCTCTAAATCTGCACTGCCTCAGGTCCTGTCCTAGATGTGAAAAAAGGGTAATTGTTTCTCATAAGCTAAATAGATCAATGTTTGTAGATGAAACCAAACAATTAGGATACTAGTGTTCCCGTGGATGGCTGTTTTCCTTCTGGGCCTGCTGAAACAATGCACCAGCACTTGCTTTGTGATCCTTCCTGATGAAAAGCTTTACAGACATGGAACACAGTGCTTGATAGGAATTGTACTTCTGTCTGAAAACATTTACTGTGTACCATCCCAGATAACCACGTGTGAGAGAAGAACCTGCTTCCTTTCATCATTTGCTACTGTTTGTTTAGTTATCTGTACTCTCCAGTGGGCCAGTTTCAGGGTTATCAGAGAAACCTTCCCAGGTTGTTTTTATGAGCTTTCTTTCACACAAGAGGAAAAAAAGGCAAAGTGTGGCTGTAAAAGAACTAGTGGTGAGACTCAGGGCAAGCACAGTAACTCAAATTACATTTAATTCCTTTGTTTGAAATTATTCTGATAGCAGGTTTACAACACCATTTAATTTGAATTCATTAGCCATCATCAGCTGAATATGAATGCTAATGTCTTCTACTTGCAAATTAGTCTCATCTCACCTGAGGCATCCACAATATCTTCTGAGTCCTCAGAAAATGATAGCAAGCTGAAAAATGCTTGTATCCTCCCCTCAGGACAAGGACAGGATGGCAGGTGAACTGCTCTAAGCTTCTGGCATACTGGACGGCAGTTCCTTCCTCAGCATCTAATGAGATCAAAAAGCTGTTTGCCAGGGCAGGTTCAGAGTGCCTCCATCAGCACTGGGGGTTACATCTGTCCCACTGACACAGACAGAAAATTCCTTTTCATTTCACCTAATGGTCTGTAGAGAGCCTTGTTAAAAGCTAGACTTATTCAAAATTTTACTGTTGCTGCAGGTCAGTAACATAGCATGTTGGTTTTCACCTCTTGTCCTGATCTATTATTCCTCTCCTGGTTTCTTTTGTAAGTCTAGATCAAGATTTTTTTCCCTCCCCAGAATTCTTTGGGAAATGCTTGTAATAATTTCCCTAATAGGGAAGTATTACTAATTTAAATCTAATAATCTCAGTTTTATGGAGCCCCTTTTCTTTAGTCTGCTTTAGGCAAAGGGGGAAAGAAGGAGGTATCGTGAATAAATTCTTCACAAGTGTTTTGAACACTCCCCTCAGTGAAGTATATTATGTGAGATGGCTGCTCCCCCCTTCTCCCAAGGGATCCATCCCGCCTGCCTCTAGCTATGTCTGCTTTATAAATAGATCAGCACAATAGAAACCCACTTCTGATTCTTCACACCTTCCCTTGCTACTGTCTCATCACCGAGTGTTTATGAGCATGCTTGCTTTATTCATTCCCCTTACACGCCGATATTTTTCTTAAACAAATGATGTAAATCTTTGCTGAAACTACAGTAGCCTTTATAAATAATAGGAGCCAAAGAAACATACTGAAGTGGTTCTGCACACAGCAGAACTCCTTGCCAAAGGATGCGTGAAAGTTAACATTTCCATGGTTCAGGGAAGACTGAACAATTACATGGAAAAGTTTCCAGCTCTTCACACTTCTCGGTGAACTCCATCAAATCACCACCCCCATTAAAGCTAAGTCTTTTAGAATATGATAATGTGAAAGCCTTTTATAACCCTCAAAGAAGGAAGTACTCACTCTGTGAACATACGGAACTTGAGTCAGTGTTTTCAGTGTGTAAAGAAGCACTGCTCCCTAAAAGACAATCATTGGACAAGCCCAATCTCAGTGAAATGTGGAAAAAAAAATTCCTCCTATGCGACAAGGAACTTCAGAGGGATCAGTCCACAGATAGGAAACCAGGTCTGCCAGGACGCTTTGAAATAAAACCTGGATTTCTGAAGCCTAAGAACATAAGCAACAGAGTGAAAAACCACATGCATAGCACAGATGTTCATTTTTCAAATCATTTCTCTTCCAATAAGCTCATAAAATTAAATGAGAAATGGGAAGAATACCTATCTGACAGTGAGGTCTTGACTGACATGGGTCACACGTACCTTTTTCTTTCTCCTCTTCCTCATAGTCACAGCAATCCAAAGAGCTGGTCTCACAGTCATACACCACACAGTATCTGACACACCCCAGCTCCTCTGAATCCGGTACCAGGTACTCCCCTGTAGGACTCTACCAAAATCACAGAGGAATTCTATCAGGAGCACAGCTCCACTCTTTTCTTGTGGCATCAATGCTACATCTTGCAAGTTACTACTCTATAGCTATGGGATAGGTTTGGGGCTATGTCTGCACTTGACGCTGAAAGACCCAGTTAGAATTCAGAAATGACGCAAACTACACCGGATTGCTTCATCAGCTGCAGTGGTAAAGATGCCAGCACAGTCCTTTGTGAGACAAGGCCAGATATGTTAATTCTTGTGCAATATTTTTCCTGATATACAGCTCCTATGTGCCAACCCTTTGGGCTACTGAAGCCACCTTTGCTTTGTGACAGAATACATCCCCCCAGTGGCAGAAATGGAACATGGCTGAAACAGGCAGGGGAGAGACTGGGACAATTCCCGCGGGTTTAAAGCCGATTTTGGCTTACTGCTAATTGCTAAATCCAAGGATGGTTTACACAAACGGTAAGCCCCTCACCTGTTCAATCCTGCGTGCTGTAATAATATGGCTTTCATCGTATTCACGCTGAGTACGAGCATCTGAAAAAAACAACCAAGACAGAGCAATTGGCTTGTTTGATGCTTTAAAGGTAGAATCCTGTTTGTAATTCAGTTAGTGGGAATTCAGGCACCGACATCAACCAGGGAAAGAGATTCGGTTTTTTAGACACTGAGACTTTCTGATGTGGCTGTAACGAATGCCAATACTGATGTCAGTCTATGTGTAACACCAAGTGATGCCAGCAGCTTTAGTCCTGACCCAAGTGTGGTACCGCAGCGTTCATGGCGCCAGTCTCATGCTCTGTTCTGCTCTGCCCTGTGGCGTAGCCAGGCCCCCACTCACTGGGCCTGCTCTGACCTCCCGGCGTCCAGCACCTCCGCCCCTGTGCTGCCCCAGAGACGGGGAGAGGGGCACCAGAGAGACCCCAACCCCACTCCCAAACGGGCCGATTCCCTCGCCGAAACACTTAATAATGTTGCAATATCAGGCACCCTTTTGGGGGGTATTGGCAGCATGCCGGATGCAATTTTTGTCAAAAAATCAGCAATTTTTGTGCAATGGTCAAGAAATCTTGTCCCCCTCTACAACCTCCGGGAGCAGGCGGGAAGAGTGTGTATCCCTGGGACGCATCAGAGCAGGAAGAGCTGGACGTGACAAAAGCAGTACCAGCTCACGGGACCTGAAATGGGATGGGAGAAACGCCCCAACTGCAAGGCCCCAGGAATTACGAGACGTAACGTGTGCTCTTCCCCGGAGCCCACAAACCCCATTTCTCCTCAGGAAACCTGCAGCAGCAGCAGGCCTCCTGCCCGCGGGCTCACCCAGCAGGCACAGGTAGTTGGGCTCCGCCAGCCGGGACACCCGCCGCTGCTGGTTGAGGATGTTGTAGAGGCGGCCGGGCTCGCAGAGCTCCATCCCCGCCATCCCCCGCCGACAGGGCGATTGTCGCCGACAGGCCTCACAGCCCGGCTCGCCGCGTTGCCGTGGCAACGGCGGAGCGCGGCCCGCTGCCGCCGCCTGGTTGCTAGGGAGGGCACGCGCCGGGCCGTCGCTAGGGGTGACGTCAGGTGCGGATCTCGCGAGGCTTTCTCCTTCTTCCCCCCTCCCTTCCCGCGACCGGAAGTCTCGCGAGAAGGGCGGGCGCTCCCGCGCAGGCGCCGTGCCGTGGAGGTCGTTGGAGTCACCGGAGCGGCCGCGCCATGCTGTCCCGCCTCGCCCGTCCCGCCGCCGCCGCCGCGGCCCTCCGCCGGGGCCTCGCCACCACCGCCCAGGTACGCCACGCCACGCCGTCAGCCTCCCCGCCGGCACAGGGCCCGCACCCCCTCGGGGCCGGGGTGGGGAGCCCAGGCCCTCCTCCTCTGTGAGGGGGCAACCGGGCCCGCCGGCGGGCTCGGCCCTCCTGTGTGCGGTGAGGAGGGGCTGGGGGCGTCTCTAGGCGGTGGGGGTCACCGCCTCAGTCGGTGCTGTGAGGGAGGTGTGAGGAGCGGGGGTCGGGGTCGGTTCCGGGGGTGCCGGGTTGGTGCGGTGTCTCCGCCCGGTAAAGCGTCCGCGCTGTGGGGCATCGCCCTGCGGCTCCTGGCCGGGAGAGAGCCTGATGTCTTTCTCCACACACTTGCTGGCCAAATCTATCGGTTCTAGGTGAATTTCTCTAACGGGTGGCAACGCCGGTTTGCTCGCTGCTTCCTTCCTCTACTGAAAATACGCCCCTGCTTTCAAAATGAACTAAGAATTAAAGCTGGCGGTTGGGGGGTTAACAGTAATCCTTAATATGCTGAAATCCGTTGTGCGTGACTCTTGATACCAGGAGAGGACTGCCGCTACGTGGTAGGTAGAGACCGACATCTATTTTCCAACGTAAATAGTTCCCAGTGGCATATGACAAAATGATTATTGTAGCTATAAAGGTGCATTTTACAAGAGAGGCTTGTGTAATTATTTTGATAGGAATTATATTTATTAGCAGTGCGGTTTTGATCTCATGGTATCAGGTCAGCCATAAATATGGGGCATAACAGTGACTAACGCTAGACTTTGCTTCCCCTTGGAGAGTTTCGTGCTGAGTTACATTTGTTGCAATAGCAAGAAAACTGAGCTGCGGTTAGGCTGATCTAGCTCCTGGGTAGATTATTTCTTGTCAGAGCATAATAATTAAGCTGTTTGTGCAGGGACTTGGAGCTATTATGGCTTTATCTGGTAAGACAGTGTGATAGAGAACGTCCTTATCAGCGGTAATTGTATTACCATGTTGCGTCCCTGCAGTAGCCTCTGGTTCTCCATCACTTTGGCAGAGCGTTGCATTTTAAGATTATTCTGGACTTTTAACGTAGCTTGCCTCTTGCCTAGTGACACTCTCTCTACAAACAGGAGCACAGCCATTTTGGAGAGAAATAACTTTCTTCCAGTGAGCATGTTAGGGTAAAACTGGTTCACCAGGGCAACAAAGCAGCGTTGGTTTTATTTGCTTCTCAGCCACACTTGATCAAAGCTGGAAATGATAGTCACTTAATGTTCTCAGGCCTCAATCTTGAGGCAGCTGCAGGTACTATTTTGAATTTATTTCAGGTGTATGCATTTTCTTCACATATATACATTGGTTATTATGTTTATTGTAGTCCATTAAATGTATTGATTTGCCCAATGGGAAGGCATATTTTTTTGATACTGGCAATGAAAACTAGAAAAACTGCAAACCAGATTTTGCCCCAAGTCAGAGCTAGGTCCACACAGTAGCAGGTATTAGTCTCAGGCAGATGTTGCCATCTGAAGAAAGATGATCGTTTTGGTTACTTTGCCCAGCCTTGCTTCCCTTTTGAACTTCAGATTGCAAAAAAACCATTTTCCTCTAATTATCCTACCAATAAACCTCACGGATCTTTGGGAGGCTGTAGTGATGATCGCTTTCTGTGGGCTTAGGCAATCGATTTTGCGTAGTGCTTGATAAAGAAATTGAGAAATAGAACTAAAAGTAAAGAAAATGTGGTGAAATCCCCAAGGTCACTGCTGCAGTAACTACCAAAGCATCTCTTCAATGTATTTGTCGTCTTTTTTCCTCAGAACAATGCCAAGGTAGCAGTGCTGGGGGCCTCAGGAGGCATTGGCCAGCCTCTCTCCCTTCTCCTGAAGAACAGCCCACTGGTGAGCAGGCTCAGCCTTTACGATATCGCTCACACTCCAGGTGTTGCAGCTGACCTCAGCCACATCGAGACAAGAGCAAATGTTAAAGGTACTGCGAGCCGCTGGAACCAGTCTGTGTTCTGAAGGCGTCCTCTTGGGTGTCTCTGACACTTGGAGATGCCCATTGCTGTGCTTGTGAAGGGGAATCTTCACATGAACCTGAAACCTAGTATCAATTTAAGTAGCTTTTTCTCAAGCAGTGCATCACTAATTAAGGTTTAGCTGATTACGTTGACATGTATGGAGATGAAAATGGTCTGTGGTTGCACTGTTGAAGAGGAATTTGTAATACCTGGCAGGAAATATTCAGTAAAATTGCCTCAGAAAAAAGCTTGAGCATTGATTTTAAAAGTTTGACTACAAATAGACTTAACACTCCCTGGGTGTCTATGTGAATTCTGCGTGCTTCTTTTCTGAAGGGACAGCTGTCAAGTTCTGATGAAATCACAACTTAACCTGCTGATCTTCATTTTATTTGCAGATCACCAAGAAGTTACATTTTACTTGAATATGCCTATCTGCAGTTCTTTGGGGGCACTGACTGTAGTGCCAAGCTAGGGTTTTTGGAGAGTAAATTACACGTAACAGGAGGAACTGAGGTGTTTCAAAACAGATGAATGTGAGGTTCTCATCACTCTCATTTTGCAAGTTTTGAAACAACGATAGAACATCAAATAGGATCCATCTGTGATTGTATTGCTTTGCTTTGCAATGTAAGTCTGAATTGAAGGCTAAATTAAAAAAGGAATTGGGTGCCTCTGGGCATAATTTTGTACTTCAAAGTGTCAGATGTTTAATAACTGGCAAAAACATAATGCCTGAATGTCTTCCATTCCAGGCTTCCTGGGACCTGAGCAGTTGCCAGAATGTCTGAAGGGCTGTAATGTTGTAGTTATTCCTGCGGGAGTCCCTAGAAAACCAGGTATGTTGTTTTTTGTTAAAAAGACCCAGGGCTTCATTGAAGTGTATCTGTGCAGTACTGTTACTCAAATAAAGCTGTGTCTGGTGCTTTACGGTGCTCTCAGTGTTGGCTTGGGATGTGAGTAGTCTGTTAACTACACTGACATAGAGCTTGTGGTATCGGGCATCTCATTTTGCTTCTGTCTTAGATTGTCCCTTGTAAAATGAGCAGAATTGATTTCTGGAGTTCTGTGTAGGGGTGAGGTGCAAAGACTTTCCCTGCAAGTGGTTCTGAATCTCCCTTAGTGTTTCTTGCCCAGAGCAATGCTCTAGTAAAACAAAAAACAAAACAACCCTGGTTCTTTGTTTCATTTCTCAGCAGAATAGAAATAATCTGTTTTACATTAATAGGATGATAACTTCTTAGAGCATCTCTGAATGAATGCTGTTAATCCCTCCTAGAATGTCCCTGACCTGCTCCATTTCTACTCTGTTTTTCACTATCCTGTTGGGAATGTAGCAAAATTCTAGACTTTAATGCCTAGCTCTTCCTAATTCTTCATTTTTCGTGGTTAAAGTAGTTGCTGCAACAGAAATGAGAGGTGGCACTTAAGCAACTAGCAGTATTTTGCACAGAGCAGTTGGCATTCAAACTGTAGCTGTGGAGGTGACTTCAGGGAGGAGGAGAATTCATCTCAGGAGCAGTTATGCTGCTCTGAGCACCACTGGTACACTGGTGTGGGTCAGTATGGTCACACTGTACTTCAGGCTGCCTAGTTGAAATACGTTCTGACAACTGACAGCTGGGCTGGTTGCTCCTGAAAAGGGCTAATCTCTCTGAAAGGGCAGTAATCTTTTATTAGCGAGAGGAGCTACCTTTGGAGCCAATTCATTACTGCAGCTGGAGAGTTTTCTCTTGATATATGAAACCAGAAGCTGATGTCTCTCTGTCCAGAGCAGAATATTGCTTTTTGATTGGGTTGCTTGTCCGTTAATTAGTAGCCTACGGGTAACTTAAAATACTGTACTGGATGCATTTTAGGTATGACCCGTGATGACCTGTTCAACACCAATGCTAGCATTGTTGCTACTTTGACGTCTGCCTGTGCAAAGCACTGTCCAGAAGCCATGATCTGCATTATTTCTAACCCGGTAAGCATTTTCTGGAGACCTTGAAAATGTAGGGGGAAAAAAAAAAGTCCAGAATGAGAATACTAGAGTAATCTGAGTTCCTATTAGTTTTGACCAGTATCTCTAAGGTCTGCAGTGTATTTACAGAAAAGAACTAAAAGCCTGGTTCTACTAACCCGTTTTTCTTGGCTATATTTAAGTCAGAGGAAACTTGGATATAAAAGTGCTTAATATCTCAACATCTGTATGACTATGGTTATAATATATGCTGATGTATTAGCTGGAATAGAACTCTTAGCTCACTAAGGGAGGCACTTTTGTAATGTGAATGAACAAATTTGTTGTCTTAATGGTTATTTAAAATGGATGATTTTTATTCCAGCCTGACTGTGAATTGCTCTTCAATTTAGGAATTAAAGTTGTTGGCTACAGTTGACTTCAGGTTGGAAGTATACTTCAGGTTGTTTGCTGGCCTGTTCAGTTCATGCATTGGCTTCATTATTATACTGGTTTTAATGAATGCTTGCCTATTCTTGCTTATAGGTAAATTCAACCATCCCAATAACTTCAGAAGTCTTCAAGAAGCATGGTGTGTATAATCCCAACAGAATCTTTGGTGTTACAACGCTGGACATTGTCAGAGCAAATACTTTTGTGGCTGAACTAAAGGTAGGTCATAACAGGTGCTCTGGGAGGTATACTGCCTACTTCGGTCATCA